TGCCAGCCCAGCGGCAGCCTCTGCCCTCAGCGCTGCAGGCTGAGAGCTGCGTCGAGCTGTCTGCATGGGGCCCGGATGAGAGCTCCCAGGCTCCTAAAGCGCCATCCATGCGGGGCAATCGCAGCCCTGTCCTGGGGATGCCTGTGGCCTCCCAGCCCCTCTACTTTTGGCAGGACTTAACTGCGTTTCCTTATGTAGCTGAAGGGTAAATTCATGTTTTACAGAGAAGAAACTGAGGCAGCGAGCCAGGAAAGAAGGAGCAATGTTTTCTCTAATGCTAGCTTAGCAGGAACGGTCATCCTAGCCTCTGGCAGTGTCCTCTTTACAGAGCTAAGTGCTGGCAACAGAGCATGTAACCACTGAAGACACCTCAGATCTAAAATCAGCCAGACCTAAAGCTTCTCTGGATCCTCCTATGCCCTTTGAAGCAAATGGAGAATTGTCCAGTGCTAGCCTGTTTCCCTGCATGGTTTCAGCTCCACGGTCTCCTTCGCTGTGTCCCGCTAAGTTGCGATGCCACCAGCTGTCCCTCTGCAGCGGGAGCAGCATGTCAGCGCGAGGCAGCGTGCTGTTGGCAGCGTGCCGACGGTGGGTCACCCTGAGTCGGGACCCTCTCGTTCTGTAGGATTCTCCGGAGACACGAGCCAAAGCTTTCGCCCATAACTCACCTGGTCCCGTTTCGCAGGAGACAGGGAACTGGCGCACTGGGACCGGCTGCTCCTTGAAGAGCCTCGACTCATGGACCCACCAGAACGGGCGCTCCCCAAATAAGAACCTGGTGGGGAGAGAAAAAAACAGAGCAGTGAATCGCTACTGAGCAAACCAGCCCAAAACCTTCGTTGCCTGCGCGGTCCCTCTAGATCCGGGGGCCTGTTTCACCAGAAAAGAGCCCCCTTGGATATGCTACGGACTGGGCCGCAGTGTCCGTAGGAGAGCAGAGCCCGACAGAGCCAAGACGGGAGAGGATCAGGTGGCACCTTCCCACGGAGGGGATGACAGGGATGCTCAGCATAGGCAGCCCCTAAACGTTGGCTCCCTTCCTACCCTGGCATGCAGCAGCAGGGGAGGAGAGCAGGTTCCCTGCCCATTCTTACGGCTCCCCGGCTACCACTTGCACCTCAGATTGGCACAGTTTGTTCTGTTGCAAACGCCTGGCAAATGTGTTACGACCGGTGAGCTGAGCTGCAGAAACTCTGCATGCTTTCAGCACAGCACAGGCAAGGAGCAGCACAGATGCCTAAAGGCTGGTCTCTGCTCGACAAGGAGAAGCCGGCGATTGCGTTTTTGCCCTGCTATTGTAAACGTGCTGTCACTCAGCCCTCAGGGATGCGCTAGGGAGACCAGGTACGATACGGCGGGAATCTGGGCTCTTTCCTCACCATTTGAAGGTCACGTTGAGCCACTCGGAGACCAGGCCAATCCACAGCACCGACACCCCCACCTTGCGGTCGAGAAAATAGGCGAGAGGGAAACAGACGGTGAAGATGCATTTGGGATCAGCCAGGGAGGTCACCGAGAGCCAGAACTTCTCCAGCCAGGGCGGCCCCGACTGCAGCACCTCCGCGAAGTGGATTCCAGCGGTATGCAGCGCGTCCATCGTGCCAGGCTGGAGGGAGGGCGCGAGCGTTAGAGCTCGGGGCTCGACGCCGAGGCCGCAGAGCGGGTCAACAGGTAGAGCTGGGGCTGGCTGAGGTGGCTCCTTGAGGCCTGGCGCACTTGTCACGCTCTGGCTCACTGCTGCGCTAGGCGTGAAGTGTGCCGGGACTGACGTGGGGGGCTTCCTGGTGCAGGATGCCACAGCTGGCCCGGGTTCAAGGAGCAATTTGACCATACCCCTGGAGGGTCCAAGAAGGACTATTAACGTTAAGCTCCACCCAGCAGCTCAGGAGATCCCCAGGGTGCAGAGCACCCGCAGCGAGGATAACGCCGCGGGGAAGCATCACCTCGTGTGCGAGGCCGTGGGCCGGGGCCAGGCCCTGCTCGAGGGGCAGCTTGGGCCGATCCAGCACAGGCGTGTTCGGGGGCTGAAGGCCCCGTTTTGGGGTTCGCAAGAGCGGTCAGGCTGCCCCAAACAGCTCTGGCTGGTGAGAGCCTCCTGGGGACAGGGCTGGCGGGGTGGCCTTTGGCGGGGGGGCCTGTCCCCTGCCCCCTCCCCAGAAGGGGTAAGTGGGGGCAGGTCCCAGTGCCTGTCACTGCCTTGGAGGGGATGGGGGGGGAGTCTCCCTGGGGGGTGGCTGTCACCTAGGCCACC